GAACATGGCCCGGCCCCGCCCACGCCCCGAGGACACGGTCCCACCCCCCACATGGCCCCGCCCCGAGACGCGGCCCGGCCCCGCCCCGGACACGGCCCCGCCCCCGGCCCCGCCCTCACCGTGGTACTCGGCCCATTTGTAACCGCGCACGATCTCCTTGCTCTCCGCAGCTGTGGTGGCGGAAGGCGGCGCCGAGTGGACGCGGATCAGTACGTACTTGAAGACGCCGTCGGAGTCGATGTCCACATCGGGGATCTCAGCCAGGCCCGCTCCCGCCATGTTTCCTCGGCGTGCGCCCAGCCCCCAGCTCCTGCAACCCCTTCCCCTCCCTATGCGGGTCAACGTAGCGCGGGGTGGGGGGGCCGCGGGGCGGGCTCGGGAGAGCCGCGGCCAATTCCGAGGGGCGATGCTGCCCGAAGCCTGTTGCCGCAGCCAATAGTATTGGCGAGTCGCAGTGCAGCCTAGCCAATCACAGCCCAGCGCCTTCAGCGTGGTGGACCACGCTGTTCTCACTTAAAGGGAAACGAGGAAACCTAAAAGAAGCGTGATTCAGTTCTGCCAATGGAAAGTTCCCTTCCCGCAGGCTCTGGGAGGCACCTCTGGGCAGTTAGGCGGCATTGCTAAGATCAAGGAAAGGCTGCCTGAGGCCTGAGAAACGCACCCCAAGTTTCCGTCCAACCCCTGCTGTCCAGGGACCGCCCCGCGCGCTCTCCCTGCGTCCCGCCCGCGTCCCGGGGTCTCCTGTCCGCAAACCCTGCTCTCCGAAGCCCGACGCCCTCCGAGGTCTCCCACTCGCACAAGGAGACAGCAAGGGTTACATTCAAGTTCTAGTTTACTCGGTTGGAAAGCGCCTGCCCTCTGGAAATCTTCATTCCAGGGTCGCCCGGTCCCGGCCCTCGGGCGGAGGCCGAAAGCAGAAGGCCGCCCAGAAAGCAGCAGGACAAGCGGGGTGTCGCGGCTGGAGTGAGCACTTTCGGTGCAAACGCGCAGGCGTGGGAGCTGGCCGCGGAGGCTAGCCGGGTGGGCGGGCAGCCGGGGTCGGGGGTTCGACTCCCCTTCCTGGGGTCTGACGGTCCCAGGAGGGTCCCTCCTGGGAAGCGCAGTGTCCCCTTTCTGGCTACCCTAACCTCCCCATCGAGCTCCCCCAGGCGGGCCGCGAGCTCCCCCAGGCGGGGGCTGAGGTCAGGCGCCAGGTTCTCGGGGTTCAGGCCCTCCAAGCGCTGGAGGGGGAGAATCTGACTCCGTACAGCCCTTGCCGCCTCTGACTCGTGACAGGCCATGCCTCTAATGGACCCCACAATGGCCACTAGCTCGTTCCTGCACCTACTCCCACCAGGATGTCCTCCAACTTTTCACCCTGGTCGTTGTTGGGGTTGCGCACCTTCATCTGCACCCTTCTGTCCTATGCACTTGCTTCTGCCTCCACGTGCCCCATGGGACTGAGCTGCCGTTGTCGTCTGCCCTGGCGCCTGCCCCAGGATGCCACCTTCCCAGCCAGGCTCAGCCTCCCCTGCCTGGACCAGAGATCCCCGAATTGGCTCTTGCCGTTTCGCCCGCTCTTTACAGGCCCAGGTAGGGCCTGAGTAAGGCAGGAGGTGAGGGAGACAGGACTGCACACGTGTGGCTTCACAGATGACAAAAGGACTACTTTCATCATTGGAGAAAATACCCCCAGTCAAGGCGAGCATGCGGCCAGCCCAGGCCAGCTACAGGCTTCACGAGGCTGCTCGCCCCTGGCCTGCTGTGAGCTGGTTTAAAGTGACTGGGCTTCAGACAGCGGGGCTCCGGGTGCGCAGGTGTCCTATGGACTGCGTGAAGGAGGCGGGGATCTGTGACGGTGTCCCCTCCCGCCCTACAGCAGGGCCTTAGTGGTCCTTAGGCCATCCCACCTCCCAGCGGGGAGCACCAAGCGGCTGAAGACCAATTCAGGGTCCCTAGGGCGAGCCTGGACCCAGAGGCTGTTGAGCGGGGAGCGCTGGGAGGAACTGGTGGTAGATCATTGGGTGGTGGGAGAGGCGGAGTCTGCAGGTACAGGGTGAGGTGCCAGTGGGGGATGATGGGGAGGCTGCAGGGCTGGAAGAGGAGCGGTTAAAGGAGGCAGGAAAGAGCTGGGGTGGGGCTCCAGGCAGGACCTAGGGGTGGGGGCAGGAGTCTCCAGCAGGGTCTGAACGGGTTGGGAGGAGACTCGGGCGGGGCCTGAGCGGGTAGTGTAGAAACTGGGGCGGGACCCGAGGGGACTGGCTTGGGCGGAATTTGAGCGTATAGACCAAGCGTTAGGGCGTATGGGCGGGAGGGGCGGACCCTGTGGTTGAGGGCGTGGCTTGGGGGCCTGGGCAGGCCACAGGCTGGGCTGTTCACATGAGGTCGTCCAGCAAGTTGGCGCTGGCTACCCAGTCCAGAGCGCGCGGTTCGGATGCGGCCATAATCATGCACATGAAGGGGCGACCAGTGCGCCGGTCTGTGGGGTAGATGGTGGTGGGCGTGAAGCGCCGATTGGCCTCGACAAACTCGCAGAGCTGCTCATAGACGCGCGGGAACTCGTGGCGCAGGAAGACACCGCGCAGGCGCAGCTCCCGCTGGATATGGATGAAGGCCACCTCGCGCGCGCGCCGGCCCGCCTCGCCATCCTGGTCCAGGCCCGCCGTGCCAGGTGGAGGAGTCAGAATCAGCGTCTCCATATCGGGCTCATGGCCTCGAGGCGGCAGTGGGCGCGCGGGGCTGCCAGCAGCCAGTGCCACCTTGGCAAATTTGCGCACAGTGGGGCCGGCGCTGCGCGGCGCGGGCCGGGCAGGGGCACCAGGAGGCGCCCCGCTGGGCCCTACCGCCACGGACACGCTGAGTAGGAAGCACTCGGCCGGCTCATAGAGGCGCCCGGCGGCTGCCAGCTCGCGTGCATAGCCACCCAGGGGCGCCGCGTGTGTGGCCAGCTCGCGCAGGGACAAGTAGGTGGGCGACAGCAGCAGCCCCTCAAGGCCGAAGCGCAGGAAGTTGTCGGCCGACCCGGGGCTCGGGAAGCCCAGGAAGAGCACACCGCGACCGCGCGACAAGAAGCCGACACGCGCTATGCGAGAGAAGGCGCGGTGTACGGGGCCACTGTCGCGGCAGAACTGCAGCACGTGGCGACACACGCTGCCCACGCGGCCGTACACGCAGCGCGCCTTGTGCGCGTCCCAGTCCTCGCGGCGGCACAGGCGCGAGCAGTAGTAGGTGTAGCAGCTGTGACACGACTTGAAGTAGAGGCAGGCATTGAACATGGTCTCTGTGCGCCGGCAGCGCGCGTTCGAGCAGGTCATCAGGTCGTCCTCGTCGGCGCTGGGCTCCGGGGACGCGTCGGCCGCCTCCCCGGAGCCTGTGGGCTCCTCGACACTGCCGGCCGAGGCGGGCGGCGAGCGAGGCGTCACCAGCGTGGGGCCCGCCGGCCGCAGGTCCAGCAGATGGCGCAGATGGCCGCTTGGGCTGTTGGCCACTCGTTCAGTGCTGGGAGCTGCTGGGGATCTCGAGTCGATGACCAGGTCTGTGATGAGCTCGTCCAGCTGCTCCAGACTGCGCTGGCGACCCGAGGCGGGGCCGTCAGCAGCTGGGAGCGGCGGTGGCCGCTGACGGCCAGCAGACACCTCCCAGGGCCTGGCAGATGGGCGCTCGGCTGCGCGGAGGTCGTTGTCAGTGATGGTGATCTCGGGCGTAACATACCAGGCGCGGCCCAGGCCCTCCCCGGCTCGACCTTTTTCAGACAGCGATGTCTCAGACAGCGATAGTGCTGCGTAGCGCCGGGGTGAAGTGGACAAGTTCACCACAACTGGTGGGCGCCGTCCTTCAGGGGACGTACCTTGGGGCTCCCGTGCCTCGCGGCCCAGCAGGTTCTCATAGCTGCGGCCCCGGCCCAGGGGGTCGTCCCTGCGCGGAGCAGGTGCCAGGATGTTGTCCCAGGAACGCGAGTAGTGGCGACTGTCGGTGGCCAGCCGGGGTGGGCTGGTGCCCGTGCCTCCGTGCCAGGAGGCGAGCAGCGGCCCAGGGTCAGGAGGTGGTGCCACCTGCAGGGTGTGGTAAGGCCGAGGGCCCCAGTCACCCCAGGCTGGGCTGCCGCGCGGGTAAGGGTAAGTCCGAGTCAGGGCGCCCGGCTCACGGTACCGTGCCCAGTCCTCCGTGTGGAAGGTCCGCGTGACGGGGGCCCGGGGGTCGTCAGGGTGGTAGCGCGGGCCATAGGTGCGAGACGCCTCGTTGTAGTAGGACCGGGAAGGCGGCTCCTGGATCGGGAAAGTCCGGACTTCCCCCGAGTAGTAGCCGACCCCGTGCCGCGGGCTAGGCCTTGGGGGCTCTTCAGGTGCATAGGGTCTGGGGCAGTAGCCATCAAAGGCTGGACCCGGGCTGGCTGTAAAGCCCCCCGGGAAGCCATCAGGTTCCTCAGTATAGAAGAATTGAGTGGGCCCCGGCGGGGCTGGGAAGGACAGGCTGCGGCGCTCGGCATAGTCCCGGGGGCCTGGCAACGGCCCGTCGCAGTAGAGCGCCCGGGGATCAGCACAGAATGAGTCGGTGGGAGTTGGCGTGCGGGACAGCACCATGTGCCTAGGTCCCGGCACCGTGAGGCCGTGCAGCTGAGGGGCGACGCGGACCCAGGGGGGCGCATCGGCCGGCGCGGAGGAGCGTGGACCCCGAGCGGCGTGCTGCAGGACCGCGTCATCCGGCTTGATATCCAGGCGGCAGCGGACGTGCGGGGCGGGCCCTGAGGGCGGTTCTGGTGGCGGGCAGCGGCCGGAGGCAGCACACAGGGGTGCGATGCGGCCAGGGCCGCCGCGCTGCGGCTGCAGCTTGATAGGGTGTAGCTCATTGGCAAGCGCACGCAGCGCAGGGTATGTGGGTTCTCGGCGCGGTGATGCCTCGGTGCGCGAGGCCCGCTCGGTTTCCCGGCTTCTGCGTGGAAGCACAGGGGGCGAGGCGGGTGCCAGGCCTGGGGCCGCGCGCGGTGCGCTCTTGGAGCGGGCTCGGCGCCGGGTCTCGCCTTCCCGTGGCCGCGGGCGGGGCGCGGCGGGCTCTGGGGGCGGTGGCTCTGTGCCCCCGCCTCCTCCGTGATCCTCCATGGCCGGCCCGTCCAGTGCCTCCAGAAAGTCGAAGCTGCGGCAGTGGCGCTTGTTGAACGCCGCGGGCGCAGCAGGCCGGGCCATGGCGCGCTCACATGCCGGGCGCCGCGATGCCGGTCCCTGGGCCGCCACCTTGATGTCCTGGTACAGGGTTGACACCAGCAGATCCGGCGGGTCCGTGCGGGTCATCTTAAAAGAAGTCCCCAGGCTGGCGGCTTCTGCTCACTCGGCCTGGCGGGGCTTTCGCCCTGTGGAGAGGAGGTGGTTTGAAACTCCTTCCTGGCCTGTCCCCCACCCCCGCACTGTCCCCGCTTACCTGGGGCGCAGCAGCCCTGGCTGTAGGCCGTGGCCGCGGGCGCCTGCTCCATGGTGGTGTCAGGCACCTGAGGAAGGAATCCAGCGGTCCAACTACCCTGCCACCCCCCTGAGCACCCCACTTCCTTTTCGTTGCAGGCGGGGGAGAGCCAGCTAGGCAGGCCATGCCTTGGTCTCTGCTTTACCCTGCCAAGCTCACGGACCCTGACCCTTAACCACGAGCTGGGCTCTCGGGGGTCCCACTGCCTGACTAGTCAGCGAATGAGAAAGGAGGAGCATGCAGAGTTGCGGCCCCAGGGGCCCGCTGGCCAGATAGCTTGGTCACTTTTGAAACTAATTTATATATCCCAGTGCTCAGTAGCAGCAGCCTCTCCCGGCGTCGCCTCGGATAGTGCACAGGCCGGAGGGTGTCTGCAGATGCCTCTGACCCTGTTGTGTACAGACCCCAGGACTTCAGGACCTGGGCGCAGCCCCGCCTCCACCTTCACTCACCCCAACCCCTAAGCCTGGTCAGGCCTGGTAAGCATGCAGTGCTGGGCCCGGTGCACTTCGCACCCACCACTATTGTTGGAGCCCCAGCTTTGCTTAAAAGCTGACACCCCACAGTGCATACCCGGCACCCTGCAGCGCGAAACCAGGCGGACAGCAGGGCACGTGGGTAACGCGTGAGCTGCGCGGGTGGCTGGCGGCCACCCCCCTAGAAGCCCAGGGATGGGGTCCTGGGCAAGCCCCTCCTCCAGGGCCCTGCAGCGAGGGCCCGCCCCCAGGGCGCCGGGAGGCTCCATGGAAACCGCGTTTCCCCGCCCCCACGCTGCAGGCTGGGCCTGCGCCCCTGTCACCAGACTGCACTCTGGTGCAGCGGCTTTGGGGTCCCCGGGGCCAGGGACGGGGCGCTGCACACAGCGCCTGCGCTTCGGGCTGGGCGGTGTGCCTGGAGGTCACACGCGGCCCTGGCCGCCTGCTGGGGGAGGGGCTCGCGATGCCTTTGCAGCCTGCAGGGGAGGGAGGGGGAAGCCGGAGGCCGCCCCTCACCTGGCAAGGACCCTCCTCACCTGGCAGGACCGCGGTGGACGCGCCGGCTCGCTCTCCCTGGGCTAGCCCTCTGGGTGCCTGGTGTGCAGAGACTTCCTGTCGACACGGCCTCTGCGTCGTGGCCACCAGGTCACGGTCCCTGTCCCCATCCTAGCTGTACGCTCGCCCTCGCTTGTCCCTGCTCTGGCCGCCGGTCCCGTGCTCCCCCCTCCATCACTCGGCACAGGCCGAATCGGGCCGCAGCGGCGGAGCTCCGCCCAGCGCGGGGCAGCGCGCCTGGCTGGCTGCGGCGGTCAACAGCTGGACGCGGTGACAGCCCCTCCCCGGCTTTTCTGGGGCCGCAGGCCTCCCCGTTCCCTCCACGGCGCGACCCTGCCCCAGGCCCCGGCCCGAGCGGCCCCGGGCGATGGGGGCGGGGACCCCCATCCTCGCCGCCGGTCGGGCAGCTCTGGTCCGTGACAGCGGCGCGCCGGTGACGCGGCCCCCGCCCCTACCTGGCGCTGCTCCGCCGCCGGCCCCGGTGGGCTGCGCAGCCCCGCGCTGGCACCGCCGCGTCCCGGGCGCCGGAGAAGCTTCGAGGCAGCGCCGCTCACCGGCCACTCAGTGCTGCCCCCGGTGGCGGCCGCGGGGTCTGCGCTTAAAGGGGCCGCGCCCCAGAGGACTGCGGGAGGGGGCCAAGTCCCCAGGGCGCCCGCGCCAGTCCTGACCTTACCAGGAGACCCCGGCAACTGGCTGGGCCAGGGACAAGGAGACTGGCCCGGGGGAGCCCAAGGCCGGGCTAGTCCAGAGACTGGACCGATGTGCTGAGCAGCCCCCTGACCGCCAGTTGCCTGCCCTGGACCCATGCACCCGGCGATTGTGGTTCCAAGGTCTCAGCGGGCCTTGGAAGGTCTCAGGGCCAGATGGTTGCCCAGTCTTTATGTCCAAGTGTCCGAGCGGAGCAGGCCTCTGTGCCAGGCCCTCTCGTCAACTGCAGGGTGACATTCTGTCGCAGCCCTGCCGGCCCTCCATCTGGACAGGAGTTTGGGATGGCCTATCCCAGTGGTAGTTGGCTCTAATGTCCTTGGCCCGGGGGTAGGTTGGAGTAGTTTTCCCGTGTCCTGGTGGGGGTGGCTTTCTGCCCAGGATTGTGGGAGGGTCATCTCCAGACCCTTGACCTCAGGGGCAGCTTGTGGACCTCACAGTGGTACCACACGCTCACTCCATGCCATCCATCCCCAAGAATGGCAGGGAAGAGGCACACTCCGCGAGCTGGCTGACCAGCATCTGGGTTAAGAAGGGTCTTGGACTGTACACGTTGCCTGCATGAGCCCTGGATTGGGGTGGAGACCCTGCTGCTTCACCTCCTGTGGAAAAGTGGGGCACCAGCATCAGGACCTGTTACTGTGGCAACTGGGGGTGTGGAGCTGTTAATGGAGAGGCTGGACCTGCAGTAGCCCTTCCCGGGGAGGCAGCAGCTCAGCCCTAGCCTAGGGTTCCCTCTGGTCAGGCCAGAGAACAGGGTTGGAACAGCTGAGCTGTGGGAGCCCAGTGCTGGCCCTTTTACGGTGCACAGTACCCCGCCCCACAGGCAAAGGGCTGCAGGGAGGGTGCACCTGTCCTTCTCAGGACACGCTGTGTGACCCACAGGCAGACAAGGTACCCAGGACTTTCCTGCCAGCCCACAGCACCTGGGGACTGAGGACCAGAATGCCAGCTTGTGGCCATGGAGAGAAGACAGCACTTCACATAGAACAGAAGAGCTTTATGGTCCAAGGGAGTGTCCATGGGAGCTGAAATGACTGACCAGCCTGTTCTGGGCGGCAGCCTGGGCACAGGTGGCAGAGGGCACACACTGAGAGGTTCAAGTCCTCAGAGGTGCCACCTGTGCTGCTGCCCCCCGGTAGGCACCTCATCAGGCAGCCAAGTCCTACCCAGAGAGACCAACTTGTCCTCCCTGGAGCCTGCCCAACCTAGGGCGGAGCCCTGCCATGGGATCCACGGGAAGCCATGTGCAGGGGACGTGGTGCTGCCCACACGTTGTGGCTTCGAGTAGGCGGTGGGCATGCGCCAGGGTAAGCAGGTGCTGGGTGCCAGGACATGGGAGGGGCCGGAGCAGTCTGCCCCTGTAAACAGGCCCTGCAAGTCCCTCCTGGGCCTCAGTCACATCCCTGAGAAATGCCGAGGCCGCCATGGCAGGCCCCGAGCCGCCCTTGTCCCTCTGTGGGCCTCTGGCCACCTGCCACCTGGACTGGCCACTTGGAGGGCACCAGCCCGCAGCCAGGAAGCTGGACCGCGAGGGGTGGAGGCCGCAGAGCAGGCTGGACGCAGGCAGGCCTTCTGTGCTGCAGGGTCCCACCATGTCCTGGAATCTGTTCCCAGCAACCAGCCTAGAGCTCCTCATAATCCCCGCCCCCGTGATGCTGGCTGCTGGGGTCCCCGCCCCCCAGGAACGCTTCCAGCTCATTGGGGGGCTCCTTCTTGGTGCGGGGAGCCTTCTTCCTCTTCCCCCCCTCCTCCCTGTCCTTGCTCTTCTTGTGCTTGCTCTTCTTCCTGGTCTTGTCCTCCTCCTGGGGCGAGAGGCGGGGCTGGTCAGCACCCACATGGGCCTCCCCGGGACCCTCATCCCAGGGGACCCACCCGAGGGGACCCCAGCCTGGAGGACCCACCTGAGGGACCCCCACCCAAGGGGACCCACTCAAGGGACCATACCCCCCACACCCCCAGGGGCACAACTCACTTCTTTGCTTCGCTTCTTCTTCTTCTTCTTCTCTCTGGAGGGAGGCTTGCTTTCCTTATCTGCAGAGACAGCACGTAAATCAGCTCTGTCTTCTGTGTCCACAAGAGTGCTGGCCTTCCCGGAGGAGACAGCTGGAAGGACACATGCCCACCTGGCCCTCTCCCAGGGCTGCAGCTCCTCTGGCACCCTGCTCATCCCACCACCTGATGGGGCACAACAGCAAGGGGCCCCCAGAAACCAGGGTGAATCAGGCTGCGAGAGAATGAGGGGCCGTGGGCACGTCCAACTGTGAAGCCCTGTGGACAGACTGGGTGCCCCCAGTGGTCCTGATGCATCAGCTGCCCCAGGACCATGCCCCAAGGAGAAGCATGTCCACCCCACTTTTGAGGACACCTTTGGGAAGGGGGATGCCCGTCTGTGTGCCGGCCAGTCTGCTGGAGGGAGCCAGTGTGTGTCCTCGCTCTGGGGCAGATCACAGTGAACACATCGCCAGCACCATGGTGGGATGTGGCAGCCACCCCGCCACCTGGCCTTGCAACCTCTGGGTGGGTGAGTGCGGCCGCCTCACCCCGCCTTAGAGCATCCCAGGACTGGCAGCCCTGGGCGCACTTGGGGTGGGGAGTGGGCCTGGTTTCGTCCAGCCCCCAGGGTGGCTCAGCTGACTCCCGGTGCAGTGAGTGACAGGCCCCAGGGGTCCAATACCAGACGTGGCTCCAGAAGAGGAAGGCCCACCTTCATCACTGCTGTCCCTGGGGCCAGGCTCCCTAAGGCCCAGCCCGAAGAGATCCGAGTCATTCTTGGGTCTAAAGGAGGGTGCAGGGTCCCGGGGTGCCTGAGGTGGGATGGTATCCTCATCAGTCAGGTCAGAGATGTCCTCACGGATGGGGAACTCATCCTAGAAGAACAACGGGCAGTCCTGATCAACGTGGTCATACCGACGCATACTGGGGTGTCCCCGCTGCCTAGAGTCCAGAGATGAGCTGCCTGGTAGGTGGGGCCGAGGGCTTGTGCAGGAGCACCTGACCCACCTGGTCCAGCCTGGAGCATACCCGTGTCTCCTCGGGGAAGGGATGTGTTCTCCCTTAAGTGCCCATGAACCCCATCCTCACGGGCCACCAGGCCCCTCTCCCCCTCACTGCTCCATTCCCCCTCAGTGCCCCATCCCCCCTGGGCACCGGGCCCCTCCCCCACTCAGCCCTGTCCCACTGGGCACCAGCCCCTGCCCCCCCCAGTGCTCCGTCCTCACTGGGCACTGGGTCCCTCACCGCTTTCTTTGGCCCATCTGACTCCTCGCTCTCAAAATCGGGGTCGTCCATGACGAAGGACAACATCTGGGCAGCGATGGGCCCCTCAGGGTCACTCTCAGAGGATGCTGCCCCCTCGGCCTTGACTCCCTCAGTTCTGTGGGAGGGGCCTCCAGTGGAGACTGTGGGCCTGGATGCTGGCGCCGGGAGGGCAGGCCTGCCTGCAGCCTGTGTCTCCAGCCCCAGTGGTCCCTGGGCCTGTGTGGAAGTTGGTCCGGCCAGAGGCTTCGAGCTCTTCTTGGGCCTGGGAAGGCAGGGGTATCAGGATGTATATGACAGGCCAAGGGCCCCCCAAGACACAGGGTCCCCTCTGTGGGCTACACCCACATACCTTCTCATCTCTGGCTCCACGCACAGCTGGGGAACTAAGACAGGGGCTCTGGGGAGCCCCCCTGGCTCCTCCACTTCCTCCTCACTGGACAGAGTGATGTGCTTACTGGGGAGGTGGTCTTTAGCCACTGGGGGTCTGTTGGATGGCCTGTCCTCTACGTCCACGTCGTCCTGGAAACCAGCCACCATCGGGTTTCCAGCCTGGGCTTCTCCTTCACTGGAGGACGGGGTTCAGAGGTCACCTAGACATCCAGAATTCTACCTGTGCCAGCCCTACCCCCCATGCTGACCCTCAGTGACCCTGAAAACTACTGAGCTGATGGGCTGCCTGTGGTGGGGGCGTGGTGGACGGTGCCAGCTGGGGGCGGGTCAACATGCAGACGGGTGGGCTATAGGCAGCGAGGCCCCCAAGGCCTGGGGTCCCTGCTTCCTGGGACTGAGTGGAAGGTGGGCCCTGCAGGCCAGCAGGTTCACCTGACTGTGTTGTGCACTGGGGAGCTGCCCAAGAATTAGTAGGTGTGGGTCTTGGGGTGCGCTCAGGGCCAGAAGGGGTGTGTGGGACCCCTGTGCCTCACCTGACCCTTCCCTGCAGCTGTCCTCAGCCAGCCAGCTCCACCCTCACCTGTCGCTGTCTTGTGGGGGTCCCCCAGCCTTCTCCTCCTTCGGGGGGGCTGAGTCCTCTAGGAAGCTGCGGTCCAGGGTGTCCTCGGGAACAAAGTCCTCGACGTTTGGAACCTTTGCTGGGACCTCTGCAGCGGGAATGGGCTCTGTAGGCAGGAGACACAGGGCCCCTCTCTTTGCTGTGTCCCCAGGCTGGTCCCTGGAACCTTCTGGGTCCCATAGGGGATGTGAGGCAGGTAAGCCCAGGTTGGGGATGCCTTAGAGGCCCGGTGGGACCAGGGCCTACCTGGAGGTGTGGGGGCTGGGTCTGCCACAGGCGAGGTCCCAAAGAGCCGGGAGATGATGCTGCGGCGTGGGGGCGGAGCAGGGGCAGGGGCGGGGGGGGCCCTGGGGGAACAGGGCCTCCGCTGGGGGTCCTGGTGCCCCAGGCGCTGGGGAGGGGCAGGCAGAGGGGGCAGCCACGGGCAGCAGGGAGGGCTGAGGCGTGCCAGGGCTGGAGCTCCCGGCAGACACAGTGCCTGGGGGTACAACAGGTGACTGGGAGCCAGAGGCTGGGCTCTGCCCGTTGGTGGCCAGTGGGGACGAGTGACCACGGCTGCGGGCATCCATCATCTCAAGGAAGCTGGGGGCAAAGAGTAGGGAGTGAGTGGGGAGAGGAGACCCTGCTGGCCCCCCAACCTTCCCTGCAAATGTTGGCATATGATGGACCTCACAGCCTGACCCGTTCAGCACTGCTGGAACCCAGGCCCCATGTGGACTTCCCTGCCTGAGATTTACAAAAGGGCCAGGATGGATCTGAAGATGTGGGGCGCTGGGGACAAGCTGCTTCTGAGGGTGGAGAGGAGCAGCCTGAGCTCTGACAGGGACGCTCCTGATCCCACTTCTTGTCTGGACGACACACTGCAGAGGCCAGCCCAGGACAGCAAGCACCCCCTGCCCTCCAAGAGCACCTCCCAGCACATTAGAGGGAGGGCACCAGCAGCCTGCAGGCCAAGGCTGAGGAGTCGTCCCCCAGGAGTCCGTCCAGAAGGTCAAGGAGCCTGAAAGCCCAGGTCACAGAGGCTCCTCTGACCTGGGGAGGCGGCACTGAGGTCTGGACCTACAGCACTGTGCTTGCCGCAAGGGCTGCTGATCAGAAGCCAGGGACAGTAGCACCCCGGGCATTCACATGTGAGGGGAGAGGCAGGGGCAAACCCTGACTGCAAACCTCCGAACTGCAGCCACAGTGACCCCTGCTTGTAAGCTCACAGGATCTCCCCGCCTCTGCCCGCGTGCAACACCAAGCCTGGCGCTGAGACACTGCCTAAGTGACAGTCCACGTTGGGGGCCCCAGGTCCAAAAGAGAAGGTGGTTCCTACGAGCCACAGAGTGGGAAGGGCAGGGCACCTGTCCACTGGGTGGTCAGCGGACTTTCACACCAGGCTGCTGGCAGGCACCACAGCCTTGCTGGGGAGCTCACTCATGACCACGCCTGGCACAAGCCTTGTGAGCCTGCCATCAGCCAGGTCCAGGGCCCAGTCCCCAGGGCTAGCCTCTGTGTTTCTGGGAGTGGCTGTCCTGACCCCGTGGGAAGAGGAGGATCCAAGGAAAGGCTGGGATTTAGACTTTCATCTTCTGGATGGCGCTGATAGGACTATTTTATCACTGTACATTAATCAGTAATAAAAGCCAAGCGTACAGAGTAGAGGGCCACAGTCCGCTCTCCTGAAGGCCTGGGTAGGGCTGCTGGGCAGAGACCCTGATTCCTAAACAGGGCAATGCCTGCCTGCAGCTGAGATGGCAACCAGAGGACCAGGAACACGTCCAGCCACGTGCAGATCTCCCTGTTGCAGACAGACATGCATGCCCCCCACAAGCCCCCCAGGTCTCCCCCTCTACAGATGGGCAACAGGCTCAGGCCGGGCAGGTCCTGTGGCCACGCCCTGGTGAGCTCCTGCTGTGGACGGGGGCTGCAGGAGTGGTCTGCGCACATCTCGTAGTTCTGGTCCTCGGTCTCCTGCTGCACCACTAGCTCCTCCAGCGTGGCGTCGATGTCCAGTTGGTTGGTCTCCAGCTGCCGCAGCAATGTTTCCCTCTAGGGAAGGACAGGGACATGAGCAGAGGGGCTGCAAGTCCCCTGATGCAGGACGGCTGAGTCCAGAGCTGTGCCGGCAGCCCACGTGACCCCCGCCAAGACGTCCACCCACCGGGCGGGGACGTGGTAACAACCAGACCAGCCTCCAATCTGGAAAGGGGCCCATGGCCAAAGTCACACTACCACTGCTGTGACCAGTCATGGCCTGGGCAGCATGGGGTACAGCAGCACTGGAAGGGAGCTGTTCTCCCCCCACAACTAAGGCCGCACGAGACCACTCTCCTGGACCTAGTCTGGACCTGACCTTCGGTCTCCACCTGGTGTCCACAGCAGTCCTTGGCCCTTTGAGTGGGGGTGGTCCAGGGCCTAAGGATGCTAGCACGTGCTGCCCCCTGGTGGGGTCCCGTGTAACTGCATGGATCTGAAGATGGGGGCCTCTCCCCAAAAGTCTTACTAGAGGCCACTAAGGACACACGTGTCCTACAAAATGACCAAAATCCACATGACCTTAATGACATTCTTCCTCTGCCCAGCTTGCTGAGACCAGGTGAACTCTGGAGGTTATACCCTCAGTCACTCTTTCCAGCTTGGAACTCACCTTTCAAACATACGGCCCTGGAAGGAAGGTGACTGCTACCAGAATGAATACACTCCTCTCACCAAGCAGCTACCTAAGCACCAAAGAGCTGCATGTGCCCAGGGAGAAAGCTCAGAAGGCAGGAAGAGTGGGGAGAAGGACGGGTGGAAAATGGAGAGGCAGGGAGGAAGCGGGCCGAGTGCTGCTCGGCTGCGGGGCACGTGACTGGAGAGCCTCCCTCACACCACGACCACAGAGCAAGAAATGCCAAACCATCAACCCAAACACCTTCCTCTTGATTTTAGCACCAAGGGCATGCAGTAGCAACAGAAAATTCAAAGCAGAAGACAATCTGGTTGTGAGAGGGTTCCAGAAAGCTCAGCCAGGTTCCCTGGGTGCTGCCCAGTGCAGGGCCAGCCTGCCCACGCCTGTCGCTCTACAGTGCTGACGGGGTCACAGCAGGCAGACACTGGGGTCTGTGCACACCTTAACTGCGGGGCTGGGCCAGTTCAGAGGTGGCCCTATCACCGCCCAGGGAGCCTGGGGTCTCTGCAGTGACTCAGAGAGTGAAGCAGACAAAAGAGCCCATGGGTGGGGTCAAGGGCCCGCCCTGCAGGAGCCATAGAGATGCTGGAGCCAAGTGGACCCTGAGTGACCACACCCTTGATGGAGGCAGTGCTCAGCTCTCTGCCCAAGGTGCCCATGCCATGCAGCAGGTGAGGGGTATGCGGGACCTGCTCCTCCCCCACCGGGCACCAGTGTCTACTGCCCTCACAGCACAGGCTTGCCCAGCCCGGTCTAAACGCTCCAGCTGCTCCCTCAGGTCAGGGCAGGCGTGGCCTCGGCTGCCCACCTGCAGCTGTAGAAATGGGATGTTGAAGAACTTGTGCAGGTACTTGAGGCCAAAGCTGTTCTTCATGGAAGATTCGGCATAGCGGAAGTAGGAGGCGCCCGGGGGTCTGTCAGAAGGAAGACGCGTGGGAATGGGAGCAGGGGCAGGACCAGGGACAGCCACCCCTGCCCGGCACCCAGGCAGAGCCAGCACTGCGAGTCAACACTGCCAGCCTAGTGTGGTGGGAGGGACGTGGAGGCCCCACCACACGCCCACCTGTCCAGGCGGTCGATGAGGTCACGCACGTCGTCAGGCAGGATGACGCGGTGCTCGCCCATGTCGCGGTAGTTCCCCAGCACACACACGGGCACGTGGGTCGGCACCTTGGGCAGCTCGCGGAGGATGTAGTTGAAGGTCCTGGAAGAGGGCGCAGTAAGGCTGCCGGCCTGCTCTTCCCAGGGGCCTGCCCAACAGCACTCCACAGATGGTCACTGGTTGTGTCCATGTCACACAGACGCTGACCAGCCCCTCTGCTCGTCTGCAACGGCTCAGGGAACAGTGTCTTCCCTATAATGAACCGACTTCCCGAGAGGCGTTGGAGCTCACAGACGATTCCAAGTCTGTGGACACGTGGAAGGAGCCACTGGAGAGCCAGGGTTGCACGGTGGGGAACACTTTGCACCTTCCCTTTTTAATCTCAAAGACTGGTGGTTCGAATCCACCACTGTTCCTCAAAAGAAAGACAAGCAGTCTCCTACTGTGCAATTAGCAGCTTCTAGAAGCTCGCTGGTGAGAGCTAAGGGGCAGAGACACAGCGGCAATGAGGCTGATGGCACACTGAGCGCAGGAACTACACGCAGCCCGCTGTCAAACATGCTGCACTCGGGCCATCCACACCCTCCACAGGGTCCCAGTGTGTCTGTTGGTCACCCGCGGGTGTGCAGGAGCACTCCCACGGTTCCTGCCTGGTGATGGTGGCCCTACTCTTGAGGTGGCGTCTGTCAGCATCTGTGGCTTCCCCTGGATCAGAGCTGACTTGCTGGGTCCAGGTGCCCAGGCGAGGCTTCAGGATAACTATGGGCACTGGCCGTCACAACTCAGTGCTGGGGTCTGAAGCCCTGGAACCATGGATTCCATATAGAAGCTACCACCTGGTGGCCTGGATCCCACCCCCACATCTTGGCTTCATTCTCATCTTGGATCCCACCCGACCGTCACCCCACCTGAGCCCAGGGAGTCTGCTTAATGTAAATGCTGAACCTAGGGTGCTCTTGGGACCCCAGGGCCCCCGATGGGTGACATGAGCTTGCGCCCACTAGTACCATGGTCAGCCCCACCCTCAAAGGTCACACACTGAGAGTGATCAGGCCAGGCCATCACCAGAACGGTGAGGGTGGCCAGTCATGTCCCGCAGTGCCGAGGGGCCCTGCTGCCCCTTACCACTGCTTGGTGATGTCAAACATCATGACCACACCATTGCAGTTCTTGTACACATCCAGGAACTCGGCGTCCAGGGCCATCTCGGACTCAGCCTGGGGCAGGAGGGAGACATGCAGAAATGGGAGGGTGCCACAGTTGCTCCAAAGGTTCATCAAGACTGAAAAGAGGGAGCCAACTCCACCCCACTCCAGCCCGAGAGGGCCTGGGACAGTCGCCTTGGAGCCCCATGGCCACAACTACCGACAAGGTGGCATGGCTGTGGGCTGGCAGGTGGCCGGAGCCCGGGGGTGGTGTGGGGTGTCAGCTGTAGGCTGGGGCGCCCCTCAGCCAGCAGCCCGTGCCTACCAGGTGGCCATGCTCTGTAGTGTGTATTTACCTCCTGAGGGTCGTTCTCCATTTTCAAGCCATCGCCTCGTTTTTTGCATTTTCCTTACACAAGACAAACAGAAGTTATGGGTGGAAGTGCTGGGCCAGAGCACTGAGGGGGTGGGGACGTGTGTCAGCTCTGGGTCCAGGCAGATGAGCTGGACATGCTGGGCTGGTCCACCCAAGGGACCCAGCTCAGAATTCAGCTCCACACAGCAAGCCCGAGTCTGGGGGCAGCAGTCCAGCAGGGTAAGGTCACTGTGGTGTGGGAAGTCCCTGCCCATCTTGGGTGTCCTGCCTGTGGGCAGCGTGTGGCCAGGCACCACGTGTGTCCCCCAGGCTCACCTCTGTGAGGGACCAGACTGC